TCATGCCGCTGTACTCCCGACAACTGCCGTTCCACACAGCTGCACCAACTTATATACCACATCAATATGCATGCTCGCACAACACGCTCATATTGCTGTGCAGTGTCTTAAAACCCATACGCCCAGCTCGTACAACGTACACCACAGGAAAAAGCTTAACATTTCATGACAGCTGCACTCTCCAACTTATATACCACATCAATATGCATGCTCGCACAACACGCTCATATACAGCCACAAGCTATAAAAACACACGCACCAATCTCCTGACACTGCACATCCGCTCCTGCAGGCCAGATTAATCCTGCCTTCCTCTCATTCCCACTTGACCATCGGTCACAAACACTCATGCATATAAATGCATAACACCATAAAGACATAAATGTCCCGCACAAATATGATCATAAACCATACAGCTCAGACTCGGCACCAACAAAACCATAAAGATACATACAGCCATGCAATCCACGCTATCCAGTGTCCACGGTCGTAATCCACGATCGTAACATTACCCTCCGCTTAGATTCTTCGTCCCGAAGAATGGATCAGCTGATCTGAATGCACCCTCAAGATCACTGCCATCCGGAGCACGATAATGCACTGAATCCATAATTAACTGCACGGAATACAATTCAATGGGCACATTAGCCAACCCGGCTACACTGTCCCAATTAACTGACCACTATTGTTCGTGCATGGTCGCTACATCTTCCTTCACCTCTTTTAATCCACCCGCGGCTTACTGTTCGTGCAGTTGGCCATCAAATGTCCAACTTTACCACACTTGTAGCACGACTTCATACCACGCTGTGCCATCCTTAAACGGTGACCCCATGTACCATTGTCACTTCGGCCACTGCCACCCGGCTCATCCCGGCCGTCGGCATTATACACAGTGCTGCCCGCACCGCTACTGCGCACAACGCTATTGTCCTCAACAGCGTCGTCGCTATTTTCATCAGCACTATCGTCATGACCCACAGCACCAACCTGTCGCTCCCGCGCGCTGTCAGCACTGTCGTCACTCTCTTTACGATTTTCCCAATGCCCACTTTCTTCCCATTCTTCCTCATTGCACGGCACCGGCCCAGTGACGTACTGATTTCCTTTACGCTTATTGCGCTTCACAGCAGTCTGTGCAAGCACCAAATCAGCATAAAACTCCGTAGGCGTGGTCGCTTGAGAAAGCACCACATAGCCGTAGTACGATTCCAGTAATCCATCTTTCAAATGTTCGATAACATCCGCATCGTCCATTTTCGGATTAACAAGATAACACTTCGAAACTTTCTCGTTGAAGTACGTACTTACGTCTTCATCTGGCAATTGTTTCCGGCGTCTCATCTCACGCTTGTAACGCTGAATCATATCCTTTGGACGAAATCGAGCAATTAATGCCTTCTTAAATGCCGCCTAGTCAGCCCATGGAACCCTCGCTCCATCACTGGTCTCCCTGTCGTACCAGTTGGCTGCAAATTCACGCAGGTATATCGGCGCCTGCTTCAGCAAGACAGCATCCGTCCACTCTAGCGCATTACCAATACGCTGAAACTGCCTGCACCATTCATCCACCACTTCTTTAGCTTCCCCACTAAACAACGGTGGCTTGGTGTCACTGGCCAATTTCAGATTCGTAAACTCCTTCGCTAATTGGCGAGAATTCACATTCACGGTATACTTTGCACCGGCTGCTCCCACAGCGGTGACCTTTTCCTGGTCGCCCATTATTTTGTCAGAGATATATGCTCAATATCTCAACAATATCCACAGTGCACCGTATCCACAGCGGTGACCTTTTGCTATAATATCGGATATTATCCCAATATCCCGAAAATATTACACAAAACGATCCACCGTTTCCACAACGGTGATCTTTTCTCCTCACCCGTTATACTGCCAGATAGACCCTAATATCCAACAATATCCCACAATACGGTCCACCGTTTCCACAACAATGACCTTCACTTACATTATCGGATACTGTCCCAATATCCAACAATATATAACAACACGGTCCACCACATCCAAAGCGGTAACCTTCCCAGCATCGTCCGTCAATTGCCAGAATATATCCCAATACGCCGACAATGTCAAACAGCACGATTTTCGGCAACAATGAAAAACTAATTTCCAACAATGCGGCCCACTGTTCCCACAACAGTGACCTCTTCCTCCACATCCGTTATATTGTCAGATATCCTCCCAATATCCGGACAATATCCACGGTTTCGGCACCATTCTTAAAACCCTGCAGCACTACGTCTACCTCGTACAACGTACACCACAGGGAAAAAGCTTAACTTTTATTTCATGACAGCTGCACTCCCGACAACTGTGCCGTCTCCACACAGTTGCATCAACTTATCTACCACATCAGTATGCATGCTCGCACAACACGCTCATATCGCATACAGCCACAAAGCTATAAAAACACACGCACCAATCTGACCACTGCACATCCGCTCCTGCAGGCCAGATTAATCCTGCCTTCCTCTCATTCCCACTTGACCATCGGTCACAAACACTCATGCATATAAATGCATAACACCATAAAGACATAAATGTCCCGCACAAATATGATCATAAACCATACAGCTCAGACTCGGCACCAACAAAACCATAAAGATACATACAGCCATGCAATCCACGCTATCCAGTGTCCACGGTCGTAATCCACGATCGTAACAAGTGTGCACGCTGTGATTCGGAATTTTGCGGTCCGCTGAATGTTCCATTCCGCCATGCTCAACTGTATCGGCGTGGAAGTTCTGGGAGACGACGGGATGATGCGCTACGGGCGGGTAGTGGACGTGTCGGACAACGGTCTCTTCATCGATCTGCTCTGCCCCAACCGACGACGGGAATTCGTACCCTTCGGTAGCGTCTTTTGGCGCACATCGATGACCGAAGACGACGCCCTTCATGTTTACTCTGAACAAGCTTCCCACATTCCCGTGGAGGTCCTGGTGCGGGAGTAACTGTCAGTTTCGGCTGCGGCAAGGCGCAGTGGGATTGCCGAGGGGCCTTGTTGCAGTGGCAAGAGAAGAGCAGCGGAGTGACGTGTAATGATTTTCTCAGCTTCCGACGCATCCGCTATCCAGTTGGCAAAGCACTGATACTGCGTCGGATGGTGTTCCGTCAGGCAGCGACGAAAACCTGGCATCGTGTGTCCGATGATGACGCTGCACTGAAGTGTCTTATTTGTCCCGGGGATATTGTCAAACGCACTGAGAAGCTAGACGATGGTTTCCTCTCGTTTTCCACCGAAAAGGCACAGGAACTCATCAAGAGACTAAACGACCACGATTACAATGGTTATGTAGTCTCCGTGATGGACCTTGTGGATGGTCGCTTGGACTACGTGATGCCTTTTGACGCTTCTGGATATGATGACATGGACAAGCGGATTTTGGTACTAACAAATCCATCTGGTTTTGCTTCAAATGGACTGCGTTGCATATTGTGCAATTTTCAGGAGGCCGTCGCTTATCTGCAGGAAGAGCAGGCCAGAATATCAAACTTATCCGGCCAGACAGCGACAGCCAACGACAAGATGCCGCTGCCGGTGGAATTGTGGCTGGATACTTGGACACTGTCCAACAAATGAAGATGCTCGTGGTATGTGCCGCGTGGAACCAGATGATGGAGCCCTCCGTAGTCGAATTCTGACGCAAGAAAGCGCTAGCTTCATGGAGCAAAGGGCGCGATTCGTGGACTTGGCAACGGTGTACAAACATCTGCACCCGGGAACGCAGCATCTGGTGGTGACACTGCGGAGTTACAAAATAAACTATGGGCGCGAAGACAACCATGTTCTGCTGCTCTACCACATGATTCGCTATGTGGGGCAGCAGCACTCCGGGATCCGGCTACACAGCCTGCACCTGATTGGTTTCCGACTGAATCTGCAGCCTAACCACGATGTCGTTGATCGTAGTTGTCCCTTGCATCAGTCGGCTGCGGCATCGCTCCACCCGGATGGAATGCGGCGTCTTCATCTTCTGGACGATTTCCTGGCCATTTGCGATAATTTGGTGCGTGATACAGAGCATCTGACCGATTGCGCTGTATATCTGTGTTGCCGTTGCATGAACTTGCATCTACGGGTACGACGATCGAACGGAGACGTACGGAGATACGGATTCTTCCGAGAGCGCGGCTACCACTGGGTCCGGGTTTCCATGGCGCAGTGTCGGATGCGTTGGAGGCCGGGCTGCCGACACCGCCCACTTGGGAGTGGCAAGACCTCTTGGACCTAATCGATTTGCAACGGAGTACCTGGTGTGATGCACAATGGTTCCGCAACAACGCCTGCAAAACAGTAAATTCCCACCTCAACCTTCTTGTTTGGCGTCGATAACTATTGTGCTAAGGTTGTCTTGCAGACACTGTGTTCTACGCAATCGGCCGATCCGCGTCCATCGACGCATTTTCACGGGAAGAAGTGGTGCGTGGACGGCCTAGAAGATGCACAGCCGGAGAAACTGTCGAGAATCATCATTTTTTTCTCATTTGGCTATTTTGGTTGGTCGAAGATTGACGAGATGACAATGGCGCACCACGGATATATTAATGGACGGGATCCTGCGTGTTGTGTTGACTGAATTTTTTTGTGGTTTTTAAGCAGTTACTCGTATTTATGTAGCGTAATCTGTCTGCGGTACGGTTTGTAACGATTGCCTCACTTATATGAGGAGTTTCCAGCTTTTTTAGCTGTTAATGAAAGAACCGCAAACTTATGAACTTGCATTCTTGCCGCAAACTATAACGAACTTGTGGTTAGGAGATGGCACATATGCGCGGCCCATCTTGGTAATGTTTTCCTGGCACATCCGTGATTACTGACTCAGGGCTGTAGAGAACGGCATAATGGCAATTTCAATATGGGAGCTACCGGAAACCAGCGAAAATTTTTTTGTTACATATGTACTATTGGTTTGCCGATTTTCTTACAACAAAACTTTCACTAGACCAGATAAAACCAGTACCTTAAATATTCGGTAGCACTTTGGCCCTCTTTAATTTTATAACACATCAACCGAAAGTTGCGCGCACAAATGTTCTTTCAGAAAACTGGGTAGAGATCACAGGCTGCCAAAGTAATATGAATTAATGCAGAACACTGTTCTGGAAAGCGCGCAACGGAAGTTTCATCAAGTGCAGTCTAAATCTTTATACCCTGGGGCAAACGGTTTCCGTTAATAACGCTGTTTGCACCTGGGTAGTGATACTAGTGAAGAATTGTCCGAAACTTTGCTAACGCTATTTTAAATATCTAGGTAATAGGTACATGTTATGTCGATTCTTCTTTTTATCACCGCTTGTAACCTTAATTACGCGTGTGAATATTATTAAGAACTGAATTAGGCTGGTCGCTAGTCTAATCTTCATCACTTTCGCAGCGGGCGCGAGTCAGGCCATTGCGACACATTATCCAGCGTCAAAAAGTTCGTGTACGAGAGTTCGGCTGCCATTGGCCGTAATACAGGATCGCGTTTCAGAAAATAAACGACGAACGCCCGCAATTCATGCGACAGTTGCTTCGGTATTTTCGGCAACCCGCCGGTACCGATGTAGTACATGGCCATCAGGTGCGTTTGCGATTCCACCTGTTTCCCGTCGACTTCCTTGACGAAGCGCGGCGATCCGCTGATCATCTCCAGCAGCACACAGCCCAAACTCCAGATATCGCTCTTGTGGTTGACATTACCGCTCACGAGCCCCTCAGGTGACGTGAAGGCGCCCTCGTATCCACTCTTCGACATCTCCTTCGCCAGAGCCATATTGCTTTGGAAACGCTGAGTGGTGTCCAGATTGGCAATCTTCATTTGGCAGGAGTTCCAGTCCGTGCTGCTCAGCAGAATATTTTTACCCGTTATTTCACTGTGGACAAAGTGCAGGGCGTGCAGATAGGCTAAACCGTCGACAATCTGCCGTGTCCAATTCTGAATAAGTGGCGCGGGAATGTAGAATTGAGACGCCTCATGTAAATCGCCGCCTGAGAAAATAATTATCCATAAGCCGAGTAATCATAACCATTAAGTAAGTCATTATGTGATTTTTGTTTTCATTGTTCCTAATTTTATGTTTTAGGCTAAGTAAAACGCAGAATCAATAATATGTCGGCCGTAATATTATCCGTTCTGGCACTAGGAGGACTTACAAAATTTCAAAAATTCTAAAAGTTATTGTAAAAATGTTTTGTTTGGTCAAACCCTAATGTTTCGGTCGATTAAAGCAGCCATAATTTTTGTTTCTGCGTTTTATTTAGCTTTCAATATAAAATTACGATTAATGAAAGCAAAAATTGAATTATTATTATCGATCGAAGCTAAGCAAAGGTCCTCTATGTTCAAATAAACAGGACTTTTGTCGGTCACGTCGGTCATGCCTTCATATTTTGAATAAAATTTATAATAGAAAATAATTTTGAAAACTGTTTTTTTTAACACAAAAAACAATAATTCGGAAATTTTAAATTAATATATAAACTTAAAAACATGCACCTCCTACCGTTTATAAAATTTGGTTTGCTTCGCTTCGGTCTTTCAGTGCTAGCCAACAGAGGTGCCCTTTCCTAGTATAAGCAATATGGCTGCCGAGACGTATGATATAACTCTTAGCACTCAGCCTCATTAGATTTCCACGCTGCATAATTAGCAGAGGTGATGCAAAAGCCCGCGTTAAAGCATAAATTCGAATCGAACGATCAGCACGCAACACAGACCGAAGACAATTTACCGGAACAATATTCCATAATGATGATGTAATACGGCAGAATCTTCGGTTCGGCCTCCGGAGGATTGTACTGTGCCAGATGACGCACCAGATTCGGATGAGCGAAACTAAGGATATGCCTTAAATCGGTGTCCATCGAGTTGGCCCGCACGTGGGCAATTTCCCGGTTAGAACCCAAATAGACTTCTTTCACGGCGATCTCTACGGGTCGAATTCCGTCCGTGCGGTGAGCCAGCCAGACCTCGGCTCTTTCGCTATGACTAAGCTTTGCTGCTAAGCGATACGGGATTTGCGGAGGTAATGGAACTGCTTCGCTGGCCATGATACTGTCGTTTATACACTATCTGACTAATCAACACTGAATGTGCACGGCTCAATGAACGCGTAAGTATTGCCAGTTTGCCACAGCAGCTTGTTTTATCTTCAGCCAAACCTTTACCGATCGCCATACGAATGTGTGGACAAAATGCAGCGCGTGTTTGTTCAGTTAATAACCGCCACAAAGAGCGATAACGATTATTCTGTTGATAACCGAACCTCCTTTCCTCTATTAAGCCGATTATATCACTGTTGCAGCGTTACTGTATCATTATTTCATCATAATAATATCACAACGATAACCGGTTGAGAGCGGAAGGGAGAGGCAGCTGATAGGAGTAAACAGAAACCAGCGACAATCTGATGAGCATTAAGTAACAGAATTGAGCCGTTTCAGAACGTTTCAGCCGATTATTACCGATGGCGTCGCCACTTTCCGAAATAATTTTAGTCCTCAGTATTAATCAACGCGCAGTAACGATAAGCAAGTAGTTCTGTTTTTGTGAGTGGTTAGGAAAGAGCAAAGGCAAACTAACTTGTGCGTGTTGTTGACGTTCCCCGCGAATCTTTCATTTGTATCATTTTATAAAGTCCTAAAACCGGCAGAGGTCTGCTTACTTACTACCTTAAGTATTAATATTGATAAGTACACAACGACGCGCTCAAGCATTTTTCCCGCTTTTATTTTGTGTCTTGGCAACCGGGTGTTGAGCGCGCAAATGATTTTCAGATAAATAACTGATCATATCTTGTCTCCAAAATGATCATAAAACAATATAGAAATGTGCTTCCGAGTGCTCAAAAACCAAAGTTTTCGTTTAGTGCAGCCGCTATTGGTACTTTTGTTATTTGCGTTAATAACGCTGCGTGCATTAGAGTATGGCATCATTAGGAAAAAAATACTCAGAAACTGCAAACGCGCAGTAAATATCTGTTATTGCAGCTTCGCTTATGAACACCGCATCTACGTTTAGTTGTACGCGTAGTGCAATGTAAACTGGTGCAATGAAGTTTTCAATCTACGCTGCATGCATTTCGCTGCGGGCGCGCATCAGGCCATTGCGGCACGTTAGACATCGTCAAAAAAGGTTTGCTTAAGAGGTCAGCAGCCAGTGGCCGTAATACAGGTTCCCGCTGCAGACAGTCAGCAATCAACATCCGCAGCTCATACGGCAATTTACTGGGTATTATCGGCGACTGTGACCGGCAAAAATGTCCCCCCTGTCCCCCCGGACATTTTTGCCGTGTCCCCCCTGCCACCATCTCCAAAACGGTAACCCTTTGGCCAGAATGGTAACATGGGGGACTTACAACGGAAAGTTGATTTTCAGGTCGATCGGTGACCTTTGAAAATGTGCCACCAGCGTTACCACGGCGTTACCTGTCCAAAACAGTTGAGGAACATCGGTCACCTAAGGACATTACAGCAGAACTGAACTTACAGGTTTCCGGCAAGGGGGTCATTATTGCCGAAACGAAATTACGGGTGTCAAGCATGGGGGACATTATTGCCGGAACGAAATTACTGGTGTCCGACAAGGGTTACATTATTGCTGGAACGAAATTACTGGTATCCGGCATGAGGGACATTATTGCCTGAAAGAAATTACTAGTGTCCGGCATGGGGGACATTATTGCCGGAACGAAATTACTGGTATCCGGCATGGGGGACATTATTGCCGGAAAGAAAATACTATTGTCCGACATCGGGGACATTATTGCCGGAACAAAATTACTGGTATCCGGCATGGGGGACATTATTGTCGGAACGAAATTACTAGTGTCCGGCATAAGGGACATTATTGCCGGAACGAAATTACTAGTGTCCGGCATGGGGGACATTATTGCCGGAACGAAATTACTAGTGTCCGGCATGGGGGACATTATTGACGGAACGAAATTACTAGTGTCCGGCATGGGGGACATTATTGCCGGAACGAAATTACTAGTGTCCGGCATGGGAGACATTATTGCCGGAAAGAAAATACTGGTGTCCGACATCGGGGACATTATTGCCTGAACAAAATTACTAGTATCCGGCATGGGGGACATTATTGCCGGAACGAAATTACTGGTATCCGGCATGGGGGAAATTATTGCCGGAACGAAATTACTAGTGTCCGGCACGGGGGACATTATTGCCGGAACGAAATTACTAGTGTCCGGCATGGGGGACATTATTGCCGGAAAGAAATTACTGGTATTCGGCATGGGGACATGATTGCCGGAACGAAATTACTGGTATTCGGCATGGGGGACATTATTGCCGGAACAAAATTTCTGGTATCCGGCATGGGGGACATTATTGCCGGAAAGAAATTACTGGTATTCGGCATGGAGACATTATTGCCGGAACGAAATTACTGGTATTCGGCATGGGGGAAATTATTGCCGGAACAAAATTTCTGGTATCCGGCATGGGGGACATTATTGCCGGAAAGAAATTACTGGTATTCGGCATGGAGACATTATTGCCGGAACGAAATTACTGGTATTCGGCATGGGGGACATTATTGCCGGAACGAAATTACTAGTGTCCGGCATGGGAGACATTATTGCCGGAAAGAAAATACTGGTGTCCGACATCGGGGACATTATTGCCTGAACAAAATTACTAGTATCCGGCATGGGGGACATTATTGCCGGAACGAAATTACTGGTATCCGGCATGGGGGACATTATTGCCGGAACAAAATTACTGGTGTCCGGCATGGGGACATTATTGCCGGAACGAAATTACTAGTGTCCGGCATGGGGACATTATTGCCGGAAAGAAATTACTGGTATTCGGCATGGGGACATTATTGCCGGAACGAAATTACGGTATCCGGCATGGGGGACATTATTGCCGGAACAAAATTCTGGTATCCGGCATGGGGACATTATTGCCGGAACGAAATTACTGGTATTCGGCATGGGGACATTATTGCCGGAACAAAATTTGGTATCCGGCATGGACATTTATTGCCGGAAAGAAATTCTGGTATTCGGCATGGGACATTATTGCCGGAACGAAATTACCAGTATCCGGCATGGGGACATTATTGCCGGAACAAAATTTCTGGTATCCGGCATGGGACATATTGCCGGAAAGAAATTACTGGTATCCGGCATGGGGACATTATTGCCGGAACGAAATTACGGTATCCGGCATGGGGGACATTATTGCCGGAACGAAGTCTACTAGTGTCCGGCATGGGGGACATTATTGCCGGAAAGAAAATACTGGTGTCCGACATCGACATTATTGCCCGGAACAAAATTAATAGTATCCGGCATGGGGGACGTATCCGGCATAGACATTATTGCCGGAACGTTCGGTGTCCGGCATGGGGGACATTATTGCCGGAACGAAATTACGGTATTCGGCATGGGGACATTATTGCCGGAACGAAATTTAGTGGTGTCCGGCATGGGGACATTATTGCCGGAACGAAATTACTGGTATTCGGCATGGGGACATTATTGCCGGAACGAAAGTACGGTGTCCGGCATGGGGACATTATTGCCGGAACGAAATTACTAGTGTCCGGCATGGGGACATTATTGCCGGAACGAAATTACGGTGTCCGACATGGGGACATTATTGCCGAACAAATTACAGTATCCGGCATGGGGACATTATTGCCGGAACGAAATTACTGGTATCCGGCATGGGGACATTATTGCCGGAACGAAATTACTAGTGTCCGGCATGGGGACATTATTGCCGGAACGAAATTACTAGTGTCCGGCATGGGGGACATTATTGCCGGAACGAATTATGGTGTCGGCATGGGGACATTATTGCCGGAACGAAATTACTGGTATTCGGCATGGGGGACATTATTGCCGGAACGAATTCTGGTATCCGGCATGGGGACATTATTGCCGGAACGAATTTATGGTATTCGGCATGGGGACATTATTGCCGGAACGAATTGGTATCCGGCATGGGGACATTATTGCCGGAAAGAAATTACTGGTATTCGGCATGGAGACATTTGCCGGAACGAAATTACTGGTATTCGGCATGGGGAAATTATTGCCGGAACAAAATTCTGGTATTCGGCATGGGGACATTATTGCCGGAACGAAATTACGGGTATCCGGCATGGGGACATTATTGCCGGAACGAATTTAGTGTCCGGCATGGGGGACATTATTGCCGGAAAGAAAATACTGGTGTCCGACATCAGGGACATTGCCTGAACAAAATTACTAGTATCCGGCATGGGGACATTATTGCCGGAACGAAACCAGGCATCCGCGGGGACATTATTGCCGGAACGAATTTATGGTGTCCGGCATGGGGACATTGCCGGAACGAAATTACTGGTATCCGGCATGGGGACATTATTGCCGGAACGAAATTTAGTATCCGGCATGGGGGACATTATTGCCGGAACGAAATTACTGGTATTCGGCATGGGGACATTATTGCCGGAACGAAACACTGGTATCCGGCATGGGGGACATTATTGCCGGAACGAATTTATGGTGTCCGGCATGGGGGACATTATTGCCGGAACGAAATTACTGGTATCCGGCATGGGGACATTATTGCCGGAACGAAATTAGTATTCGGCATGGTATTGCCGGAATTCTGGTATCCGGCATGGGGACATTATTGCCGGAAGAAATTATGGTATTCGGCATGGGGACATATTGCCGGAACAAATACGGTGTCCGGCATGGGGACATTATTGCCGGAACGAAATTACTAGTGTCCGGCATGGGGACATTATTGCCGGAAAGAAAATACTGGTGTCCGACATGGGGACATTATTGCCTGAACAAAATTACTAGTATCCGGCATGGGGGACATTATTGCCGGAACGAAATTACTGGTATCCGGCATGGGGGACATTATTGCCGGAACAAAATTTCTGGTATCCGGCATGGGGGACATTATTGCCGGAACGAAATTACTGGTATTCGGCATGGGGGACATTATTGCCGGAACAAAATTTCTGGTATCCGGCATGGGGGACATTATTGCCGGAAAGAAATTACTGGTATTCGGCATGGGACATTATTGCCGGAACGAAATTACTGGTATTCGGCATGGGGGAAATTATTGCCGGAACAAAATTTCTGGTATCCGGCATGGGGGACATTATTGCCGGAAAGA